ATGCTCAAATATTTTGTTTACTCTAATATTAATTAGCCTCACGTGTTTGAGGAATTTATTCCGAAAAAATTATTGATGACAATTTTATTTTTTACTTATATAAATTTAATTTTTTATTTTGCAGTTGGACAGGTTCAAAGAGCCACCAGCTTATGGACCAATGTGTGACTTACTTTGGTCGGATCCACTAGAAGACTTTGGTAATGAAAAAAATGCCGAACACTTTTCTCATAATAGCGTTCGGGGTTGTTCGTATTTCTACAGGTAATTTTATTATTTAATGAATAGCAACCTTGCACTATGTGACTTGTGAACTATAAATAAACACAATCTCGCTTTATTGAATAATGAATTTTATTAAAATAAACTGTACTTTCTTAAATATTAACGTTTTTTAAGATATAAGCTCATCTTGGTGTTACACTTATCACGAGCTTTTATTTGAATACCCACATGCATTTTTATATATTTTTCATATATTCATATATTTTTCATATATTCATATATATAAATATATAAAATATATGAAAAATTGATGTGGGTATTCAAATGAAAAGTCTCGATGAGTGTAACATCAGGATGAGCTTATATCTTCAAAAATATCACTAGTTGACAAGATAGCAAAGTCAGTTCTTAATTATTGACATTTTTTAAAATATAAGCTCATCTCGATGTTACACTCAAACTATTGAGATTTTTGAAGATATAAGCTCATCCCGACGTTACAATCATCAAGAGCTTTTATTTGAGTACCCACATGCATTTTGATATATTTTTCATATATACATATATATAATATATATAAATATATAAAAAATTGATATAGGTACTCAAATGAAAGGTCTCGATGAATATAATGCCAGAGTGAACTTATATCTTTAAAAATGTCAATAGTTCTTAAGATACAAGGCCATTTCTTAATTATGTATCTAGAGATGGAGCATTTTTAAATGCAGCCTAGATACTAATCATAAGAAATTGACTATCGATCAGAATGTCATGAAACTTTGAAAAGGCACAAATTTAAGTTGACCTTCAAAATAACACTAAATTTCACTAAAAAAACTGATTTTATCATATGACTATCCTGGATACAAAATTTTTCTTATTCTCTTAATAATATACATTATAATTTTTTTTTCTTGTAAAAAAAATAATTTTTTTTAACACTAGATAAAGTGATTTGATATTTACCTAATTTCTATTAGGTAACCTCTATAAATTAAAATTTAAAAAGTTAAACTTAAGAAAATTTAACTTTTAATTATTTGAACTTTTAAAATTAAAACTTTTGCATATTTAAGCTTGGCTTATAATAATAATAATAATAATGTAAATTTTATGATACAAATTGGCAATATTGCAAAAATGAACATACAGGCAATTAAAATTTTTTTTTATTAAATATTTAGCTTAGTAGGTCAATAATAAAATGAATATTTTATTCCTTGACATTGGCTACTTATTTTAATAGCTATTATTATATTAGTGATTTATTAATAATTAAGTAGCAATAAAAAGACAGTAATATAGTAATTAAAGTTAAAAGGGCGTGTTTAAAACGCGTTAAGCATATATTTAAGAAGCACACACTGTACATTTACATTATTTTACATACTTGAAAATCGTATAAAAGATTAAACCAATTAGCTTGTAAGCTCTAGTCTGTTTGTTTGTATGTGTATGTCTACAGACTGTCAGTATATATGCATGTATTGCACGAACAAGTTGGACTTGCGCAGCACGCAAATCACACGCGAGGTCATCCGACGGAAAAGTTGCTAACACGATAGCTCAAGTGGGATAATTTTACCCTGAAGCGATAAGGGAGCTCAAATTGTTCAAGCGTTTGTAAATTATAATACACCCTAACCAATAATTATTATTATTCCCTTGTTGTACGTCCTGCTGTTGCTCAGCCTTCAATCACAGTTACTTCTATCTGCTGTTTGTTCACTTAAATTATTATTATTATTTATTATCATTATTATTACTATTAAAAAATCAGTACTAAGAAAATATTTCATTGAAAATTTCATGTAAAAATTAAAAAAAAATTTATTATTTAATAATTAACTTATTAAGAATAATTAAAAAAAATTAATTACACTGATAGAAGGATTTATTAACTATTAATAATTTAATTTTTTCATTTTCAATAATAATAATTCATTAATTATTAATAAATATTTATTAACTGTTAATAAATATTTATTAAATCCTATGATGTTAAAAAATCATTTATTAACAGTTAATAAAGCTTATTAAATATAAACAAATTCTTCTATCCTGTAGAAAAATTTTTTTTTAATTTTCTTTTCAATAATTAGCTTATTAAAAAAATTATTAAATGTCTTTTAATTTTATCCACAGATTCGGTAGAATCTGGCGCCAAGTTCCGTTCAAATCCGTTGTCAACGGAGCGCCAGACTACCGACTGTGTTTACTGTAAGCAGAACGGTATTTTGAGATTGCAAAATTTTATTTAATTCTACGGTACTTTTTTTTCCTAAATTGTATATTATAACAGTAGTTCATACTTCATTTTACTGTTATTAATTAATTATATTCACATATAACAATTAATCTACTTGAAATTAATAAATTTAATCAGCACAAACTATAGCAACGCAAAAATTTCGATCCTGACTTTTTTTCGATGGGCAAAGTGATCTGCCACAGACTAAATAATTCGAGAATGCATAGTAATCCTTCATTAGATGGGAAACTACAGTTAAAAAAAGATATTTCACAGCTTGCATCTACACCCGCCAGGGTGCGCTGGAATTATTTTTACATAAACTGTAGCTTCAAGGGGATAGTTTGCTATAAAAAATGCAGCCAACGCGAGATTTAAGTTGGTACAAATTGTAATTTTTATTATAATTCAAAAAAATCTAAAATCCGAACAAAAACAGTTTCACTGTTAAAAAATCGTGCCAAGTCCACGTTCATAAGACTATTAAGAGAAAAATTAGTTTTTTTCTTTACAAAAAGATATAAAATAAAGAAATTAAAAAATTCAAGTAACCGATATGATTGTTTATGATTTTTGGAAATTAAAAAAAATTTTGTTGTAAATTTTAAAATTAAAAAAACAATTTTGGAACGTACTTGGTGTGCGTCATATATTGTGCATTTCAATTTTTTTAAAGTCCTATTAAATAGATTTTACGAATTTAGTTAAAAGTAAAATATTTTGCAACCGCGCACACTAAATACGTTCCAAAATTGTTTTTTTAATTTTTAAATTTACAACAAAATTTTTTTTAATTTCCGAAAATCATAAACAATCATATCGGTTACTTGGATTTTTCAATTTTTTTATTTTATATCTTTTTGTAAAGAAAAAACTAATTTTTTTTTCTTAATAGTCTTATGAACGTGGACTTGGCGCGATTTTTTTTACAGTGAAACTGTTTTTGTTCGGATTATTATTAATTCATAAATATTCAAATTTAAATTATTATTATTAACATATTCTGACATTATTTAACATATATCAATTGATTATAAAATAATGATATGAAGAAAAATAACCTGTAGGCTAAAACGATGAGATTAATGAAGGAATCACTATCACTAGCACTGAAATCAAGAGCTATCCATGTAATATACCAGAAACACGATTTAGCCTACAGTAGAACTGTCTCTCATGGGAAATTATAAATAAAAAATGTATACTCGAGGGTGTTTTTGCGCATGTTATAGCTCGGAAATGGTTGAATTAACAGCAGGACGTATTCTTGCGTTACTCCGGCATTCAGTTTGTGAATTTTTAATTGAAATAAAATAATTTCGTGTCTATTTCAATATTCATCACTTTTCGCGGAGATAAATAATTATATGACTTTGAATTTTTTTTTGATCGTTTGTAAAATTAAAATTTGACATACAAAGAGCTTCAATACGGCTAGACGTGTGTTTGTGCCGTAGATAAATAAAGCGAAAAAAAGGAATTCAATCGAACGAATGTCAAGCTCGAAATTCCCGGCTTTTGTCGGCAATATTAATGGCTCTATCACGATGGTATTTTTTCGCGTAATTGCCACGATAAAAAAATTATAAATAAAATAGCTTCAGAGTGAGTTACGGTCGGACTAAATGTGGATCTGCGCTACTGACAATATAACTATCTTGAATTGATTAAATCGACGAACCGAACAAGAAGAGTTTTATTTTTCTGTCAAAGTGCCGCTAAGAATTATTTATTATTTTTTTTACAAGATATTTTTCTTTACTTATAAAATTTTTTCTTCAAATATAAAATTATTTTCTTTGTAAATAAAAATAGAGATTTAATTTAAGAATAAATAAAACAATTTTAACAAAATAAAATAATTTTATAGAAAAATTAGAGGGAAAATAATTGAGAAAATAAATTATTAAATAAATCAAAGCCTGACATTTAGAAATTCATTTGTATGCCAGAAAAGTATTTTTTTAATGAGTTTCTATAATTGATAAAATTATCGGAAATCGATGACATAATTTGCAACGTCATTAATTAATTAATTAAACAGTTTTTTTTTTTGTCAATTTAAATTAAATAAAATTTAATTGCTGACTGTCTCTAATCAAAGCCAAATAATTGTTAAATTTTATTTTTTTTTTTTAAGTTACAAATTAAGATTTTTTTTTTTTAATATGAAAACTTAAAATTATCTTTGTTTGTTATTTTTATTTAACATTACTGTAATTTATTGGAGAAGAAACATTTGAATTTATAATTTCTCCTGACCCGGAGATCTAAATATCCTGGGGAGTAATATAATGTATAAATTCATATTTAAACCGTGAAGTTTCCATCGTTATAACCCGACAGTAATGTAAAATATGAAAGAAAATAAGATAAAAAATAAAGTAAGTATAGTTAAGGTTGATACAATGAAACTAATGTCACTTTTGTCAACAGCTATGCAGCGTGCTGCGACTTTCTGCAAAACAACAGTCTCTTGAGTATCATAAGGGCGCACGAAGCACAGGACGCTGGCTATCGTATGTACCGTAAATCCCAGACGACGGGCTTCCCATCGCTCATAACTATCTTCAGTGCACCCAACTACCTCGATGTCTACAACAATAAGGTCGCTTTTATTTTTATTTATTCCTCATTCCGTTTTATATTCTTTTTATTGTAATTACACTCGTTAATCACTTTGTATTGTCATTTGTTTTATTTCGTTTTTTCTGAAGTTTTATTATTAACTTTAACTGTCTTTAATAAAAGTCCAATTGTAGTTTTAATTTTTAAAGTGGAAATTTTATTTTTTTTTATTAATTATTTTTAGTTGATTTTTAAATTTCAACACTTGTAATTAATTAATTAATTAATTAATTAAAAATTATCAAATTTAGTTTCTCAATTAGTTAAAACTTTGAATTGTACTTAATTATTATATTTAATTTTTAATTCATTTTATTATTATTATATAAATATTATTATGAAATAAAATATTTAAGCTTTAAAATCAATTATTTAAGAATGAAAAATTGAAGTAAAAAAATTCATTTTAATTTTTTTTACAATTTTAAATTTTGTTTACAATTAATAAAAACAAGAAAATTGAAATTTTTTTTTTAGAATAATTATTTAAAAACTATTGTAAAAATTTTACAATGTCATCAAATTTTTTAACTTTAAAGCCATTAATTTAAAAATAAAAAATTTATTTATAAGATTAAAAATTTTTTTTTAATGGAAAAAAATCATAAAATTAAGATTTTTGTAAAAAATAATTAATTAGCAATTTACGTAGAATTAATTAAAAATAATTACATAAATTTTATTATATAAAAAAATTTTTAAATTAAAAATCAGAAATTTGAGTAAAAAATAAATTAAAAATTTTTTTAATAAATATTTTTAAAATTAACAAATTGATATTTTTAAAATTCTAAAAAGTCAGAGTACAATAATTATAAATTAAGTACTCACCTTGTAGAAAAAAAAATACTTTTAATTAATTAAAAAGACATAAACCTGAAAACAAAAGTAAAATATTGAATAACCGAGTAACTTATAATTTGCAGGCGGCCGTGCTCAAGTACGAGAACAACGTAATGAATATCAGACAATTCAACTGCTCGCCACATCCATACTGGCTGCCGAACTTTATGGATGTGTTCACGTGGTCCCTGCCATTCGTCGGTGAAAAAGGTAAGAGCTGACGTTTTCAATGGCTATCCAGAAACTATAATCACCGCAGAAATGTCACCGCGGTCTAATATACGTGGTTTACGGCTTCTAGTTTCAAGACTAAAAAATAAAACCCAAGGAGTAGTAGTCCGATATAATTCGACTCCAGTTGAGAAAACGTCCTCGTTAAATTAAAAATATATATATCACTATTGCTTCCAGATGTCCTCACTTTTATTTCCTCTTTACTTTATTTTATAAATTAAATTTCCCGACGCTATAAATCCATAAATAGCCCAACAAAACAAACCATTATATTAAATAAAAATAATATAACATAAAATTACCTTCCGCAGTTACTGAGATGCTGGTTAACGTATTGAACATTTGCTCGGACGACGAGCTCATGAGCGACGGAGACGACGCCCTCGAAGAAGGTAGGACCCGTTTTTTTTATTATATTAACAATATTTTATTTTTTATTTTTTTTTTTTTTATTAAAGAGCCCCTTCTTCGGCATTTACTTTTAATTTATTCTGGTCTTATCAGCGCAGTACCCGCGCTCTAAATCCGATAAAATAAATATATAGAGATCAGAAAATGCTTTACAAATCTCAGCTAATCTGTATTATCCGAGATTATTTATCTACGTATATAAATTACGTACATATATTGTACGATTGGCAATCGGGAAATAATATAAAGAAAAAACTAATGAAAATAGAAGCGGGTATTTATCAAGCTGAAAAATTCAGATGCCTCCCGTCGAAATACCGGAAATTCCACATTCGCCATTACTACATAGTGATGCAATTTCCACTAAAATTTATAGCCTATTTGCATTCCCCGGTTCCACATGTTCATTTTTAAATTCCAACGTCAATGCGTGGGAAAACACTCCTGATTTCCAATATTTTATCTCCCAGCCTAACCTCCATTTATTTTCCCCAAGTTAACCTCCATTACCCTGGCACAGTGCGAGCAACCTTTCAAACCCCGATTATCCTGTCAGAGATGGTGAAATAAATTACTCTGCGCTAAAAAAAAAATTTTAATAAAATATTCTGGTTAAATATTTTATAAATTGCGGGGATTAATTAAAATTTTATCCTTCAATAAAAAATTACGCAATCTATTTGAACTATTTAATGGTTGCCAGCACTGTGAAAATTACACAGAAAAAAAAGTTCACTTGAGCCAATAAAATATTCTTCTTCATAATTATTATCTTGAGCGAAAAAAAATTTTTTTTGATAAGAAATTTCACTTATTCCAACAGAACTTATTCTCTTGCTTTAAGAGTATCTTGATCTAAGAAAATTTATTTAAATCAAGAAAATCTTGTCGTTTTGAGAAAATTCAGCCTCTTGCTCCAAAAAAATTTAGTTCTTTTTTCTCAGCAGAAGTAGGTGGCGCTGCTTCCCTAAAGTATCTAAAAGTCTTGATCAAATATAAAAATTTATTGTATCAAATATTTATGATAATTTGAATTAAGAAAAAATTATTTCTACCAAGAATAGAATTTCAAGAAAAATTTTTACTTCGGCCAACACAACTTCAGTCTTCCTTCAGATACCCGAAAATTTTCTTGAGCCAAAAATTTTGTTCTCTACACAGAAAAAAAAATTTTTTGTCCAGAAAAAAATTTCTTGGCTCAAGAATCGTTTAAAATAAATTTTGGTTTTTTAACAAAAGAATATCAATATCTATCATGATAATAAAATACTGGCATTAATTTTGATAGATTAACACACGAATAGGTTCACTTCAATTAGACAAAAAATTTTAGACAAAAAATTCGATCAATTTTTGAGATAAGAAAATATATTCTTGTACCATTTATTGTTCAAATAAACTATAGAAATGAATTTTTATTAAACCATTAGAAACTCAATTCGTTTTCATATAAATTTTTCAAACCTCAAAAAAAAATATGGTTATAATATTATAATTTTTTATAAATTAATTTAAATGTTAGTTGGCCAAAAACGGTGCTTCTACCCTATATTCTTGTGATAAGAAAATTTTCTCAAAAGTAGTACTTTTTTTTCTCAGTGTAGTCAAGAAATTTTTTTTTCTGTGTAATCTCCGATAAATTTCGATGTGAGGCTCGACATGTAAATTCCCTATATAAAAATTTCCACCCTCATTATTATTAATATAAAATAAAAAATAGAAAAAAAAAAAAAACAAATATTCTAAAACCATAATAATTGTCTTTTTCCATATTATCCGCTGGTACGGACAGATGGTAAGAAAACGTCAATCGACAGTACCTTTATATCATTATCATATATAAGTATATATACATCAATCACCTCACAATCCATTACATTAACATTAACATTAATAAATCGCTTAATCAATCATAATCATAAATGATAAGTCACAGACATAAAAAATAATAATTTACATTATCGCCTTTATTTTAACATTATTATTTATAAACCACATAAATATATATACTTGCTATACCACAAGATTATGTACATACATTTGAATCTAAAATTACCATAGACTTTCTTCGTATGCTACAATGCGCATAAAATCCATTTTTACTATTTATCTTTCTCTTATCACAAATTTTCTCCTTATTTATTTATTATCTCGTACACATATATTTTTTAAAACTATTTTTCTTTATATTACATTATAAGAACATCCTCTGCAGATACTGGCTTACTCTCAACTTTATTTTACTAAATTTACAATCAGCAATCTACAATACAAAACATATTTTTTTTTATCATTGTAAAAAAGCTTCGTACATAAAATCAAGCCTTATGCTTAACTGGATAAATAATTATTAAAACTTCTCTTATACTTCTCCTCCCTTTTCTTTTCTCTTCTCATCCTTGTAAAATACACTTGTAATAGCATCCAATTAAATTCCCGTAGCTTAGAACCATTTTATCATGCGTGTTCAATAATTATTATTAAATTTTGTTTTATATTTTATTTAATGCATCGTTCATTTTTAAAATTATCCGACTGCAGATCTTTAAAAATTTTTATTTTTATTTTATATTGTAAAACGAATAAGTCCATACGACCTCCATTCCATTACATCTAAATATAAATTCACACTTCGAAGTGGAATACGATGATTAGGATGCTTATTAAATGCTAGGAAATATTCAAGGAAATGAGATATTTACATATATATTACTAGAGCATTCGCTCCATCGATTTTCATTTCGAAATTGCCTTCTTGCAAGTCTTATTATTATTTTTATATATTCTTAAGAAAGATTATTTATTGTACTGCCTTTTCACTCGATTTTTCCGCATTTCATTTTCAGTAATAACTACAATAATCTTTCTTGACATTAACAGTGCAAACCCTGGACCTAAATATTTTTTATTATTTATTTTACAAACGCTTAAATTGTTTCGGTCTCTATTTTGTAGATTTAAATAATGACCCTTTTTTATTTTGTCTTAATAAAATACTTGGCGACAGTTCTTACTTTTGTATTCTGCAGGAGGTTCAAGCGTTTTAATCTTTCATAAATATTCAAATTTTGCGGTGAGAAATTTAACTTCTTTGTGGAACAAATTTACTTTTAAATTATTTATTAATTCACTGGCTTTGTATCAAAAAATGAATATGAAAATAATTGCTTGAATTTTACAAGTCAATTTATAAAAATAAAAAAAAATAGTGTTCACTTTTTTTGAGATTAATTTTCAAATTTGATGCATTGTTTTCCTCTAAATTATCTTTAGTTTTTGAGAAAAATAACTAAAAAAAAATTAAAATTTTGCTTTATTAAGTAATGACTTTTGCTGAATTACACTGTACTTTCTCAAATATTGACGTTTTTGAAGATATAAGCTCATCATGATGTTACATTCATCAAGAGCTTTCATTTGAGTACTCACATGCATTTTGATATATTTTTCATATATTTAGATATATAAATATATAAAATATATGAAAAATTCATGTAGGTACTCAAATGAAAGGTCTCAATGAGTGTAATGTCGGAGTGAGCTTATATCTTCAAAAATATCATTAGTTGAGAAGATAGCAAGGTCAGTTCTTAATTATTGACATTTTTTAAGATATAAGCTCCTCCTGATGTTTCACCTATCAAGAGCTTTCATTTGAGTACCCACATGCATTTTCAGATATTTTTCATATATTTATATATATAAAATATATGGAAAATTGATGTGGGTACTTAAATGAAAGGTCTCGATGAGTGTAATATCGAGATGAGCTTATATCGTCAAAAAAATCATTAGTTGACAGGATAGAAGTCAATTCTTAATTATTGACATTATTTAAGATATAAGCTGATCATGATGCTACACTCATCACGAGCTTTCATTTGAGTACCCACATGCATTTTGATATATTTTTCATATATTCATATATATACATAATATATATAAAATATATGAAAAATTGATGTGGGTACTCAAATGAAAGGTCTCGATGAGTGTAACATCAGGATGAGCTTATATCTCTAAAAAAGTCAATAATTCACATGATACAAGGTCATTTCTTAATTATGTATCTAGATATAGCGCATTTTCGAATCTAGCCTCAATAATCATAGTAAATTAGCTTTTAAGAGTCAGCAGTCATTAAAACGCACGAACCTTCTGTCTATTTAGTCAAAAAAAGTAAATTTTAGAAAACCCGCGCCCGGAAAAATCGAATAAAAAATAATTTTGACAAAAAAAGACCTCCAGATTTGCACTTTATTGTCTTTTATCGTACTCCTTCTTTATTATATTTGTGTCAATCACACTGGCCTTGGACTCCTCCTATATCGGCACGACACTATGCTACTACTACCTCTACTACTTCTACTACTACCACTCAAAACTCCGTTGATACGGGAAATCTCCAACCCCATAAAGTCGCCGCCAAAGTCGTTGTCCAAAAAAAAAATGGTAAGTCCGCTTGATGACTTACATGCAAAGTTAATAAAAAATTAACTCAGTACGTAACTTAACTAAAGGTCGTTTTTGATAAAATTTAAATAAAAATTAGCTGCCGACTAATGAAACCTTTGATTGATTTTTTAAATAATTAAAAAAAAAAAAACGCGACTAAAACGCGGAGTGTATTTAATTCGCGTGTTTACGTTTCGTGTCGTTGTCGCTATTTTATTTGCTGCTGGACCCGCTTTTTCATCGCTAATTCAACCATTAATTTAAAATCGTTTGTTTTTAGTTATTAAAATTATTTTAAAAAATCTATAAAAAATTTAGTTTGAATTTTTTTAAAGTATTTGATCACGTATTTAATGTATTTATATTTGTTTCATAATTAAAATTCATCGTTGGCTTTTAAATATTAAATTCGTTGCCTAGAATAGTTGCAGATCACATATTTATAAACCAAAGTATTTTTATATTTATATTTATCATTTGCAATTCATACTATGCATTGTACTGTTAAATATTTTTATCGTTTAATTTCATACGTACATATTTTTTATTTTTTTATTGGATGATATTATTTGGATACAAAAAAAAAATAAAAAAATTTATAGTCGCTAGTATGTGAAAATAATAATAAAACAAACTTTTAAAATTATTTTGTTTTTTTATCACGATAAACTGCATAATTAATCTGATTTCCTCTGAATAAATCTACTGTTAAATAAATAATAATAGTGTATATATATATATATATATATATATATATATATATATATATATATACATATATTAATGCATAATATATAGAATGAAAATGAAAATAATCGTTAGCCAGTAGCGCGACTTCGTCACGAACGTTTTCACACGTATGTTATACTCAGGATTGTTATTATTATTGTTGTTGTTGTTGTTGTTGTTTTTATTGTGCATAATAATATCAACACATTCTTTATATTATCGTTTTTACATAATATTGCATACATATTAGAATTATTACATTAATAAATAAGGGAAAATTTCAATGTTCAAATATATATATTTTATAAATTAATCGCGTTCATTTTTAATCCTGAGTTTTAATTTTAAATTTATTTTTGTTTTTTAATTTTCCCATTAATTATTATTATTGTTTTCAATTGATCGTGTGAAAAAAAATTTTTGTAGCAAAAACGTTGAATATAAATCTTTTTTTTTAAACTCAAAAAATTCCAAATTTCATTTATAATTTTTTTATATTTATTTATATAAATTTAAATATTTAAATGACTTGTGAACTATAAACAAATAAAATTTTGCTTCACCAAATAATGACTTTTGTTAAATTGCACTGTACTTTCTTAATTATTGACATTTTTTAAGATATAAGCTCATCCCGATGTTACATTGATCAAAAGCTTTCATTTGAGTACCCACATGCATTTTGATATATTTTTCATATATACATATATATAATATATATAAATATATGAAAAATTGATGTGGGTACTCAAATGAAAGGTCTCGACGAGTATAACATCAGGATGAGCTTATATCTTTAAAAATGTCAATAGTTGACAAGATATCAAAGTCAGTTCTTAATTATTGACATTTTTTAGGATATAAGCTTATCCCGATGTTACGCTCATTAAGAGCTTTCATTTGAGTACCCACATGCATTTTTATATATTTTTCATATATACATATATATAATATATATAAATATATGAAAAATTGATGTGGGTACTCAAATGAAAGGTCTTGATGAGAGTGACATCGAGATGAGCTTATATCTTCAAAAATGCGAATAGTTCACAAGATACAAGGACATTTCTTAATTATATAGATTATCTAAAAAAAAAAAAATTTTCACTTTTTTAAGAAATTCTAAAATCTTTATTTTTTATGAATAATTTATTAATTTGAAAATATTTTAAATTTTTAATATTAAAAAAAAGTTATTTAATTTAAAAAAATGTTTTTTATATTTTTGCTCAATTTTAATAAATTTTTTTTTAAATCTAAAATTTGACGCCTTTGCTACAAATTTTTTTAGTAAAAAAAATTATATATAATGAATACAATTATATATATAAATCCAAATCGTTGACACTGAACTGTGTCCACGTAGCACGCGCAACATTAAAACCTCAACACGCTCACAAAAATTTGAAAGCAATCAAGTAAAAAATTTATCAAAAAATAAAAATCTCCCCCCAAAAACGCAAACAAAATTCGTGAGAAAAGTTACAGTACCACCAAATTAAAAAGTAGAGTTAAATTTATTATAAAAGTTTTTGACTAACCCGTGTGTCGTGTTGTAAAGTTTGAATTTGATTTAATCTAACGCTTAACCGTGTGTGGTTTGATTAAAAATCTCAACAAGTGATTCGCGATGAAAACCAAAAATAATAAAATAAAATTAATCGGATTATTTATCGAAGATTTAAACCGAAATCAAACAAATAATTTAGAGTAAATAAAAATAAATTCTAAAGCCGAAAAAATAGTATGAATTATATTTAATTAAATAATAAGATGTACTTATAAATTCGATAAAACGAACGAGAGTTTTAAGCAGTACTGAATATGAAGATAAGAGACAAAACCCACGGGCATCGATCAACCCCTTTGAATCCCGGGTTAGTCCCCTCTCCACTCGAGCAAGCGACGTCTCCAGCGTGCATCCAACCTCGTTGAGGCTATGCTATCATCCCTCCTTAACCTCCGCTATCTCTATCTCGATATGCCCGGGATACAATTCTCATCCCTATACGCTATATGCTTTTTATAAATTTAACTAAACTTAAATCAACCATCTATCTCCACCTATATCTTCTCCGATAACTAAAACTATAACTATATTTTTTATCTACCTGTATATAAATAAAAGTTTAAAGCCGCCCTTAAAGAATTTTAAATAATATCTAAACGTCATCTCCACTTCCTAGCCTCCAGCCTTATTTTTTAAATTTATATCCCCAACTATTATTCAAATCCGGAAACAATCGTAACAAGCCTCTTGAGCAGTTATTTTTTCCACATTCAGCTTTTTTCACGACTCATCTTTCATTATTTTTTCTCTCATTTTATATTATAGTTTTTTTTTAACACAGAAAAGTTATGAAAATTAATAATAATTATGTTGCAATATTTTATTTTATTAATTAAATTTAATGGTCGGGAATGTACACCGAGTTTATTGTGATATGTTAATTAATAATTTGATATTCTGACACGAGTCTATTATTGAAGTAACAGTTAATTAAAAAGGTACACATGTGTGTACTTTTACTTTGTAATAATTTGATACAATATAATTTAATATAACTTTTCTGTGCTATGTATTATAATCCAAATGCATGCCACATAGTTACCTGATTAATTCTACGTAAGATTAGTTTGTTAAATTAAAATGTACATTTGGGTTTGTCATTTTTGAGCTGAATTGTAAAAAATTATTATTAAAATTTTTATATTAACTTTGACAGATTTAATTATAAAGTATAATTAGTTAATTAACATTTTTTTAATTTAGTTTCACTTTTTTGCGCTCAAACTTTTATTAAAACTTTTATTTACTTCTTGGAGATTTTTTAATTACAATCACCGGGTGCCAATTATAAGACCTCAATCAAGAAAAAATTCAACCTACACGCAAAAAACAAGATGACACTGGATATCATCCCAGATTACACAGAGTAAAAAATTTTCAGATAGTAGCTAGTATAATCCAGATTACAAGGAGTGTAATCCAGATTACAATGAGTGTAGTCCGGATTATAATGAGTATAATCCAGATATCACGAAATATAATCTGGATTTTTCTAACTACTATTTGAAATTTTTTTCACCACAGATATCACTAAGTATAATCTGGGATAATATCCAGTGTTATCTTGTTCTTTCCGTGTATAAGCTCGAATTTTTTTTTAATAATTTTGTACCGTCTATTTAGACAATCCTACAAAAAATTGTGGTTTAATTGGTTTTTGTTTAATTTTTATTGACGATCAAAGTTTAAAATCGGTCAGAGAAGTCATATGTTCGACGGCTGCCATTTTTTGCCAGCGCGAAGTGAAAAAAAGCGGCAAATTGAAATTGTTTTTGATAACTAATGATCTTTTTCCGTCATAAATTTCCGATGGAAGTTTTCTCGTGATAATAAAAATATTGGAACACAAAAATGATAGACCCTATTGTATATAAGAGTATATATATAAATTTATTACGAGAGCTAACGTAACCCGACGTGTCACTTTTGATTTAAGAAATTTACTTTGAGCACGAAGAGAAAAATCCCGTAGAGAATACACACGATTTTTCATATTATATATTATACTATATAATATCCCTTGATATATAATTCGAGTACTGTAGTTTGCTATTCTTTACTCAACAACGTCGAGGGTCATATACTTCTTCGAAGTATCTTATATTATTATTTTATCCATATTTTATTTTATTACTTTTCCACTTGTCGAGTTTACCGTAAAATAATAGTATCCTCGACAAGAAAAATTTCTACTTACATATATGGAACTTTTTACCTTAAACTTTATCAGCAAATGCTCCACTGCGTGACAAGTTACTTCATGATCCTCGACGTTTTTTTAAAAACTTTATTAATCTAATTTTTCTCTTTTGAGAGTTTCTTTTCTTTTACAGGAAGCTTCTCTATACGTATATATATTTATGCACAAATATATATTTATTTAATTCATTGTTAACCAGTAATTTATAATCAGATATTTACTAAATACCTTCATTAGAATTAACTTTTTTTTTTTTACTAACTTGAATAATTTTTTTTTTTTGTAAGTTAACATTTTAATAATTAATGATTAAATGTCTCTATTTTTTTACTTATTTGACATTGCAATTAACATTGTCGGAGTAATTAATTTTATTCTTTTAATTACAATTTTATTATTATTACTAGCAACCTTGCCATGACTTGTGAACTATAAATAAATAAAATTTTGCTTTATAAAATAATGAATTTTGTTAAATTGTACTGTAATTTCTTAAATATTGACGTTTTTAAAGATATAAGCTCATCTCGATGTTACACTCTTCAAGAGCTTTCATTTGAGTACCTACATGCATTTTGATATATTTTTCATATATATACATATATGTAATATATATGAATATATGAAAAATTGATGTGGGTACTCAAATGAAAGATCTCGATGAGTGTAACATCGGGATGAGCTTATATCTTTAAAAATTTCAATAGTTCACAAGATACAAGGTCATTTCTTAATTATAGACATTTTGTTAAATAAAAGCTCATCCCGATGTTACACTCATCAAAGGCTTTCATTTGAGTACCCACATGCATTTTGATATATTTTTCATATATTCATATATATAAATATATAAAATATATGAAAAATTAATGTGGGTGCTCAAATGAAAGGTATCAATGAGTGTATTCTAGGGGTGAGCTTATATCTTTAAAAATATCAATGGTTCACAAGATATAAGGTCATTTCTTAATTAATAGACATTTTTTTAAATATAAGCTCACTCCGGCATTATACTCATCAAGAGCTTTCATTTGAGTACCTAGATGCATTTTGATATATTTTTCATATATTCATATATATAAATATATAAAATATATAAAAAATTGATGTGGGTACTCAAATGAAAGGTCTCAATGAGTGTAAGGACAGGATGAGCTTATATCTTTAAAAATGTCAATAGTTCACAAGATACAGTTTATTCTCTTAATAATATAATTTATTATTGAAAAAAAAAATTAAATAAAATTAAAAAAAATGGAGACTTAATCATAAAGTAGAATTGTTTAATAATATTAAAAAAAATTTTTTTAAACAAACTAGCAGCTGTTAAAAATATAAAATAATAAATTAATAGCACTAGCTTGAGAATGCAATTACTTATGCTGTGCACATATTTTTTTTGTCTGTTCTATGTGTTGTTTTATTTCCACACTTCTACCTCGCTATAACTACTGATTTTTCGTCGCTGAAAAACTACATCACGTTTCGCCACGACCATCACCCTTTAATTAAACAATTTATTGTTAAATATGTATATACAAATATATAAAAAAAAAAAAAAATGGGTGAATTGGTGCTGGTCTCACATTGTTGGTACTTCTGTCCTTTAAATCACGACTTGCCGTTGACGTTGCCATCCACCGCCGCTATCTGTACGTTATTACACCTTGTAACGTGGTCCAATGGTTTACCCAACGTGCTCCAAATCGAATATCACCCCAATAATTACCGCGTACGGTGAGTTTTTGTTATTATTTATTTTCTCCATAATTAAATATTAAATATTAATAATTATAAATTATAATACAATAATACAATATTATCATTATCAATAAATGTTATTCATTCAACGGCTAATATTCCATTAATTTATACAATAATTACTTTAATCAATTTTTATTAATTATTGATTTTAGTAATTATTACCTTAAAAATAAAAAAAAAACAATCCTTAAAAAAATTAAAACAAAAAAAATAAAATTCGATAAAAAAAATTTTTTTTTAGACACAAGTAGTTGAGCATGAAAAAAAGCACGGAGAATGCATAACTATTATAGACTAGCAAGCGGTTGTAAAAATAATGAATTTTTATATAAAAATAAAAAAAATAATATTCATTTTTTTTTGCAAAAAAAAAAATTGTAAAAGTTTAATTAAAACAACAACGTACCGTGCGGTTTACACTAAATATTGACGTTGAATTCTTTACCGAACAAAAGTTTGTTATTTTGTCAGTTTCAATTATTTTTATTTTAAATATTTAAATAGTTTATTTTTCAATTAAAGTACATTTAGTTTTATTTACACTAGTATGCAGTATGCGTGACGGGTTATTGATTATCATTGAATGTTGAGTGAGAGCATTACGGATATCGAGTTTCCGCGTTAATGAAATACGACAATTTAGGGCATGATCGTCCGGAATTCCCTTTACTTCCCATGTAATTCTGGCAGCCAGCAGCCAGTAGTCCAAACTACCATTAATATTATTATAATCATTATATATATTTTTCTTATTATAAATAGCGATTAAGTTTTCCTGCCCTCACATGTCCTCTACTCACTTCCGATCGAGTTTGTTTTATGAATAATAAATAACATTTATTTTGTTTATTTTTCCGAAATTCCTTTTTCCCATGAGTTGTTATTTCTGCCCTGTAATTACAGGCTAGGTCGTTAAATAGAATAAATCCTTAGAAATCTTTCGGTGGTTTGAGATAGAAAATTTTTGGTAATTATTTACAACGGGTCAAACCCATTTTGGGCCATAACTAGCTGAAAAATTGACATTTTCAATTTTTATTTTGAGGCTGCTTGTTTTTACGGCGTTTTTTTGAGAAAAAATGTCGTGAAAAAAAAAAGATTTTGATAGCTTTTTTGAATTCAAAAGTTGGATAACATTTCTCTTTTATCTTTTTTTAATGTTTTTGATAAATTTTTTTTTTTTGAAAAGTACTTAAAAAAACCAACAATTATAAAAAAAAAATTTGAATATTATTATAATTTTTTTTTAAATTTATAAATCTTTTTAAAAGTTTGTAAAATTTGTTAAAATTGTGATAATGAACTTTTATTTTTTTTAATTGTTTATTTTTTTATGTATTTTTCAAAAAAAAATACATCAATAAAATCCAATGGATATTTTGCTCAAAAAAATGAAAATTAAAATGGTCAACCCTATTTTGGGTGATAACTAGGTGAAAAATTGACATTTTTAAATTTTTTTATTTTGCTTGTTTTTACGGCGCATTTTTAATAAAAAATGTCGAGAAAGAAAAATATAAAGATTTGGATAGCTTTTTTTTTATAAAAAGTTGGAAAAATTTTGGCTCTCATGTTTTTTGGATAAAATTTCTATTTTATATTTTTTTGATAGATTTTTTTTTGAAAAGTACATAAAAAAACGAACAATTTAAAAAAAAATGAATATCACAATTTTCTAAAAAATTTATAAAGTTTTTTGAACACTTGTTACAATTGTGGCAATCAACTTTTTTTTTTAAATTGTTAATTTTTTTATGTATTTTAAAAAAAAAATACATCGATAAAATCAAATAGAAATTTCATACAAAAAAATGAAAATTAAAATAGTTGACCCCACTTGTAAATATTTACCAAATTTTTACTTGAAATAAAATAAAAAAAACTTTCATCCGCAAAAATTAGAAACTGAAAAAAATCGAAAAGCGCTAAAAGATTTATAAAGTTTATATAAAAAAAAATTACCCTGAATTGCATGCGCATGTTATGTATAGTGCATTTGTCAAACACTCAGCGAGTGCAGCTTTTAAAACACGCAATAATATAAATATAAATAATATATAAAATTTATTTTCACGCGCCGAATAACGCAACTCGTGTTTTTTTACTATAAATATTGTTATCATTATTACTTTTTTTTTTATTCTCTAATAATAATTTATTTTTCACGCTAAAAAATTATTCAGCCGTTTGAATTTAATTACTGATAAATATATTGTTTAATTGTCTATTGAGCGTCGAGAGTGCTAATAACGACAAAATACTGTATAATATTACTGAGGAAAATTTATCATTATTTAAAATTAATATATAATACATAAATAATTATTTTGTAGAATAATTTAGTCTGAGTGTATTATCATGAGGAAAAATCGTTACTCCGATATGCGGTTTATATATTTTTTGCATTGTAATTTAATTAAGCGGATAAATTTTCCTTATATTATTAGATAATTTTTTTTTTAATTATTGGAAAATACTTTTTTTATTGCGGTTTACTTATTATTTTTTTGTGGTTTAGGTGCAGCAGCAAATTTACGCAAGGAAGTCATCAGAAACAAGATCAGGGCGATTGGAAAAATGGCACGAGTATTTTCCGTCCTCAGGTAAATTATTAAAAAAAAAAAAATTTTTTTTTTTTTTAATAAAAAATATTAAAAATAAAATTTTTCAGAGAGGAGAGCGAGAGTGTCTTGCAGTTGAAAGGACTCACGCCTACGGGTGCCCTTCCTTTGGGAGCACTGTCTGGCGGCAAGATGTCTCTAAAAAACGGTGAGCGAAAAAATAAAATTAAATGGAAAAGGGATGTTAAGATAGTCTGGACAATTTACCTAGATTGACGACACCGTCTGTGTGTGTGGGTGTGTGTGATAACGTGATAAGAGTATTAAAGTTGGAGTATTGATAAGGAAATGGAGGTGTGGATGTGGAAGAGATAGAGTAGACAGTAAAAATAAATGTTAAAATGTTTTACAGCGCTCCAAGGATTCTCACCGAACCACAAAATCACGTCGTTCGCCGAAGCCAAGGGTCTTGACGCTATTAACGAGCGAATGCCGCCGCGAAAGAACGCACCACCTACGCCGGTAAATGAGGAAAAGCCGGTGATAAAACCAGCCGCTGCGGCTACTGGAGAAAAGCAAGAACAGTGTACACCTCCGCCTCACTCGTGAATCTCGTAAACGTCTTGTTTGAGGTTGATTTTATTTTTTATCATTTTATTGGAAATTTGTCTGTTTGATGGACAAATTATTTTTTTTTTTACTAATTATTTTAATTAATAAAATTATAATAAACATTTTGCGTTAATGATGTTGAAAGAGCGTATTAGGAATTTTTTTTCAAATTAATTTTAAAAAATTTGCAAGGTATAAATTTCTTATAAAAAATTTTTTTTAAATTTAGATTTTTATAAATGTTTTTTTCTGTAATTTTCATATTTCGGCGACTCAATTTTTCTTTATTAAAAATTTTTATAGCCAGAATTTTAAAACGTCCAATTTTTAAATTAGAAAGTTAGAAAATAAAATAAAAAAATTTTTTTTATTTAAAATAATTAAAAATTTGTCATAAAAAATTAATTATAAATTTTTTTTTTTAATTTTTACGGTTTGGTGTCTGAATTTTTTTCATCAATTTTTATAGCCAAAAATTTAAAATTTAAAATAATTAAAAATAAAATATGTTCACACTTTTGACTTTAAGAATTTTTTTTTCAAAGCTAAATTAAAAAAAAAAAAATTATTTATCATTTTTTCCAATAAATTTCAACATTTTTAAAGTGATTAAAGCCAAAAAAAATATTTTATTCGTTCTTTTGAAATTAATAACGCAATTTAATAATTAAAAAAAAATTTATAAAAAATAATTATTTTAAAATACTTTGTATTTCTTGCAATTGAATAAAAAAACTAATATAAATAAATAAATTTCAGGTGACAACTATGAGTCTCAACTTCTGGTCGCCTTGAAACACCACCAATGTTACATTGCTCGTCTCCCCAAATAAAATTTAGACATAGCCGTTGCATCGAGTCAAATCAGATATTACCAAGAGTAAAGAGGAAACCTTGAGAAAAATAAAAAACCACAAAAAAAAATAAAAAAATAAAAAAGAAGAAAAAGAAAAAGAAGAAAGAATGAATAAGGATACGCGACATCTCATCACCGACTCGTATACTTAATACGCAACAATATATATATCCATACATACATTTTTAAATACATACATAATACAACTATAAATATAAAAATATATCTATATATACTAACATTCATATATATAGATATATATAATGTCAAGGTGAATAATATATAATATGTTAGACGAATATACGAGAATGTAAAATACGGTTTTAAAATGTACATATAAAACTGCATAATTCTTTCACGCGTGCGTGGAGAAAAAGTTTTGTAAAGAGCATCGAGCTGGCGAACAACGCCCACCTCAATACACTTATTTAAATTAATACAGGTGTTCATTTTCATTAATTTTTTTTTATAAAAAAAATTCTTACTGCAATTAATAATAATTTAATGGAAAAAAAAAATTTATACAAGTCGATAAATATTTGGACTAATTAATCAAATAAATTAATCAATGGATTAATGGAACGTTAAATGTAATGTTTTGCGTATAGTATGTACATTTTGGAACATCAATAGACATTCTCGTATATCGTGTTACGTCCCTCGAAATATGTACACGATATATGTACACTTACACATACAGCACACGCCCACGAAGGTAAACGCGAGTATCAGCGACAGTAGTGTGTATGGTTTTAATGAAAATGAGTAAGAAGTTTAAATATTAATCAATGATTGCACACCGTTTTAATGGCAGCTGGTCTGCCAAAGGGTGACGGATTTTTTGTTCCTACTTCTGCTTTCTGAGGAGTTATTATTATTATTTACTTTATTGTTCAATATCTATGTGTATTACGGTGGTTCTTATTTTTATTATTTTTGAATATTTTTTGAGCTTACACTGATAGAAGGATTTATTATCTACTAATTTGATTTATTAAATTTTAATAAATATTTTTTAACATTCAATAAATATTTATTTGGAAGGAAAGTACATTTATTAACAGTTAATAAATAATTTGTTTCGCTTGCAATGTCATATTACATGAAGATTGTTTATAAACAAAAATCATCTTTATAAATTATTTGCATTAATTATATTACATTATAATAACGTTTATTGTAAAATACCAAATTCTACCACAGCTTTTAATTATCTTTTATATTTTTAAATATTAAAAACGTTAATTTATTTAATGAATTTAATTATTATCATTTATTCCAGCTGTAGGGTTATAAAGTGTCAAAAAAATGACATTAAAGTTAGCAGTCACTTAACTATTTTTTAATTTGTTTTAACTATTAGATTTTTTTCAAAAAATTATTTTTAAAAAATTGGATTTTTTATTTTTTTAAATCTCTACATGTCGATTTTTTTTTCTACTTTTTTTCCATAATTTATTTGTTAAAAAAATTCTTAAAATTATCAAATATCTGCTAAATTAATTTTCATGTCAAAAAATTGCTATTTTTGCTTTTTATTTTAAATAAATATTTGTTAACTGTTAACAAATATTTATTAACATTTAATAAATCATTTTTAATAAATAATTTATTACTATTAAATATTTATTAAATCCTTCAATGTTAAAAAATTGTTTATTAACAGTTAATAAAGCTTATTAAATATAAAAAAAATCCTTCTATCAGTGTATCAAAAAAATTAATATTAATTTTTTTATACTCAAAAAATATTTATAAAAAAAAGAATCACCTGAGTATAAATATAAAAAAAAAATACACATTTTAATTCACCGTACACGCGAGAATTTACGCAACCACGATATTTATTAAGTGGGTCTTGCAATCCAATGCCAATTAAAAATAAATAATAAAAAAAAATAATGAAACTTACTGTTAAATATTTTTTAATAAATTTATTGTTTGTTTATTGTTTGCGTCGCCGTTTGGAGCTCAGGAATTGTTAATTTAAGTTAACAATTAATAATTATAAAGATAGTTAAGTTTGTTATTACTATAATTATTATTATTATAATTGTTTTAATAGAGAAAATAAAAATAATTAAGGGAAGATTTGAAAGAAAATGAAAACTAACATTTGAAAAAAAAGCTCTCTCGGGTATTTAAGTTATATAATTAATTAGATTCCGAGTTCCGAGCAATTAAAATTGTTTTCACCTTGACTTAATTATAAATAAAAAAAAGACACGATGATGTAGAAGAAAAAAAAATACGAGCTCGGCATTGTGATAAGATCCTTTGAGATCTAGATAAATCTAGTCTGGAAGTTAAAAGCAAATTCTTTCTTTTTCTTTTTTTTTTTTTAACAAAAAGTTAAATGAAATAATCTCATTGAAATAATGTGAGTGCAATACCGCTATTTGAATCTCAGGTTAATCATTTAATGGACTGTATTTATTTATCCATGCTGAATTTTTTCATTACTAATTAAATTATAATTACTAATTATTAAATAAATATTACCTATGATCGTGTTGAGAGACTCCAGACGGCGAATAAAATAAATATATGTTATATTATTATTAAATAATGTGAATCTCGCGATTAAAGAAAACTATTAAGAAAATATGTGAGGATTTATAGAATAATTATTATTAAAAAATAATTATTAATTAATAATAATAATAATAATAATAATGATACTGTTAAGCCATGACACTTCGGTCCCTTTTTAATTAATATATTAATTAATAAATAAATAATTAAATAAACACCGTGGCCTCTTTGGACAGCCATCGAATGAACTCTTGTTAAGAGAAAAGTGAGATACTAAATTATGACACCGTATTTATTTATATAATTATTGATCAATAATATAGAGGATCGAAATTAATATTGGCATGGTGAAACTGTTACCTGAGTTTTTTATCTCGGTAAAAAAAAGTTTTTCGTCAAAATATTCTTTAATTTAATGTGTAAAATTAAAATTAATTTTTATTAACAAAAAATTCTAGATACATAATTAATAAATGACCTTGTATCTTCTAAACTATTGACATTTTTAAAGATATAAGCTCATCTTGATATTGCACTCATCGAGACCTTTCATTTGAGTACCCACATCAATTTTTCATATATTTCATATATTTATATATATTATATATATATGTGTATATCAAAAATATATCAAAAATGGATGTGGGTACTCAAATGAAAGCTCTTAATGAATGTAACATCAAGACGAGCTTATATTTTTAAAAATGTCTATAATTAAGAACTAATTTTGTTATTTTGTCAATTAATGATATTTTTGAAGACATAAGCTCATCTCGATGTTAAACTCATTGAGACCTTTCATTTGAGTACCCACATCAATTTTTCATATATTTATATATATCATATATATATGTATATATGACAAATATATGAAAAATTGATGTGGGTACTCAAATGAAAGGTTTCGATGAGTGTAATGACAAGATGAGCTTATATCTTAAAAAATGTCAATAATTAGGAACTGACTGCTATCTTGTCAATTAATGATATTTTTGAAGATATAAGCTCATCTCGATATTACACTCATTGAGACCTTTCATTTGAGTACCCATATCAATTTTTCATATATTTTATATATTTATATAAATGTATATATGAAATATATATCAAAATGCATGTGGGTACTCAAATGAAAGCTCTTGATGAGTGTTACATCGAGATGAGCGTATATTTTCAAAAACGTCTATAATTAAGAAAGTACAATGCAATTTAATAAAATTCATTGTTTAATAAAGCAAAATTTCATTTATAGTTGCTAGTTTTAATTACCAGTTTAAAAAAAAATTTGAATTAATAATTTTTATTTTAAAAAATTATTAAAAATATTCTAACGGAAAATTTTATCGAGATAAAAATTCAACCCCAGTTTTAGTTGTACGGTGAAAAAAAAAAGTTGACCTTAAAAAAAAAACTAGCGTAATTGATTTTTAATGTGTGTTGCTATCGAAACGGACAGTGTCCAGCCGAGTGTCGTTTTTAAATAATTAAAAATAAACTAAAATTCACCGAAAGTGGACTCTTTGCCAATTATACGAAGTATAGATAAAAAAAGTAAAAAAAGTAAAAAAAAAAACTAAATTATTAAAATAAGCCTGAGTATGAAAAA